TTAAGGCTGATAAACAAGGTTTCATTTTGTTTTAGCATCGAAGTGATAGGCTTTCCACTTGCAATACTTGTCTCAAGTGTGAAAGCAGAATTATTAAGTTTTTTTCATAATAAAAGCCCACGAGAAGAGCACAGAAAATAATTAAAAGTTATGTTATTTTTTTACTAAAGAGCCAGAAACGTTTAATAAGTCTTACCATCTGTATAGGTACGCAATATTGAAATTATTGTCTTTTAACTAACGTTATAAATAAACGTGTGCAAATATATACTTATAGTTTTATAAGTTGGACAGTCAGCTGAGTGTCATCTTTACACAGGGTGTCACCTGACTACAGGTGAGCTACACCATGGGCTCTCAAAAGGTGTGTTAGACTTTGTTTAGCAGTTTTTTTTAAGTACTTGAGCAGTGTTTTTTTAGTATATTGCATCAAACAATAAACTAACAGAAAAGACAGGACAGATAGAACCTCTTCTACAGCAATGAAACTTCATGTAAAGTTTCACAAACAAAAAAAGAAAAAGAGAAAAAAAAAACATTATAAAGACATACAAAAGAATCAGACCAATCAGTCTGCGTAGTGCCACCTCAAGTTGAACACACCTAATTTTTGTCTCGAAGGACCCCCGGTTTGGCTACAATGTTTTCTTTGGTACTTCTGCAATAATTATAACAACACTGCTTGTTTTCAAAAAAAAATTTAATTGACAAAACTTGGAAGTGTTGAATATTTTACATTTATTTATATGATTTACATTATATGATGAATAGGTATTATAATACTGATCTCTGCTGGTCAGTAGAATGAAACGGAAGGCGTTGTCTTTTCTTTCTCTGCACTTCGGAATGTACCATGAATGTTTCTATGCATTTGTCATTGTAAACAAATAATTGCAATTAATTTGGTATGGCACCAAAGGAAATGTTTATTTTAATAGCCACTGAATATTTGTAACATTACATTACACTTGCTGATTATCCTCTTTATTTATCAAAAATATACACTTTTAAGAGAATAACTACATAATCATGAGGATTAACAGAAATATTTTTCATCACGTCCAAAAGTGTGTCCAATTGAGGTTTTAGGAATTGTAAAGTTTTCTTGATAGAATTGTGATTACTTTCATCAAATAAACCAGGATTCTCATTAGTAAACCCTGGATATGTATAACAATAGTCTGGTTGACTGCACACACCCTGGATCTTTTCACACATTGTCAATGAGGTCAGACAGTCTTTATGCTGAAGCCTTCTGCTGGTTGCGTTTGGCAAACCACTCGTCACTCTTATCTGCAGCCATCGCCTATGAAAGAAACCAAACAGTAAACATATGGCTTCGGCTTGTAAGTGGATCACAGGATTAATTTTATACTCTAAAATACCTTATCCAGTAAGTCATTTCCCTTCGGATCCATTGCAGAAAGCTGCCTAAATGCCTCGTCACCCACAAAGCAGATCTCGTGACCGTCCTACATTATGTGGAGATCTGAGTCAGACAAGCATACTTTTGCAAATACTCAACATTCAGTCTCAATAACATTAATAAATACTCACAGGATCTGCAAGAATGACGACTTCCACTGTGGCTTTTCCAGGTGTATCCAGACTCACAAGCGGGGTGAGGATTTTGTGATTTTCTTTTTTCATTATGGCCTCAATGTCTGGTAACTGCAAAACAAAGACATTTCCTTAAAATTACAAGAAGTAAAATCTGATGTGGATGTTGGTTTTGAGTAAATGATCTGACCTGATCCCGAGAGCAAGCGAATGCGATCCTTCCAAAAGCAGTTGCATGTTCCACATCACATCCAATGTCCTGTAACTCCAGCTTACACTACAAAAGCACAATAATTAATTTCATGACACATACAATACCCATCAAAGGTTAGTATGATTTTTAAACGTTTTAACAAAAAAAAAGAAAGAAAAAAGTTTCTTGTGCTCAATAGGGCTGCATTTTTATGGTCAAAAATACAGTAAAAACTGTAATATTGTGAAATATTATTACAATTTAAAATAACTGTTTTCTATTCAAATATATTTTAAAATGAAATTTATTTCTGTGATGGCAAAGCTGATTTTTCAGCATCATTACTCCAGTCTTAAGTGTCACATGATCCTTCAGAAATCATTCTAATTTGCTGACTTACTGCTCATGAAACATCGTATTAATATCAATATTGAAAACATAATTTTTTGTGGGAACAGGATTTTTTAATGAATATCAAATAAAATAACATTATTCATAATAAAAATATTTGGTAACAGTATAAACTTTTTGATCCTTGCTGAATGAAAGAAATAATTTCTTTCATGAACTTGCTTTTGAGCGGTAGTGTGTATATGCAATTGTATAAATTAATTTCCAGTAATAAGGGCCTAAAAAAAAGAGGATAACCAAACTCAAGACTATTCACAGGGTCTAAGTGAGTGGCATGCCCTTATAATTTAATTATTGCCATAAATACAATAAATGGATTATTTTCAGCCAAACCTGATTATCTGAGAATCCCATTAAGGCAATCTTTTTGTCCTCATTTTTCTCAATAACTTTCATTCCCAGCAGGGCAGACCAATAATGAATAGAGCGCTGCAGATCAGAGACTGCCAGGGAGACCTTCTGTACTGGATCTATTACCAAGAAAATAAACAATCAATGTTAGGAGTCAGTATATAATGGTGCAGTTAACTACTAAAGTTACCTCATATATCTGCTTCCACATTTCATGAAGGAAGTTTTCACATCCCTATAATGACACGAGCTTCTCGCAAATACCCACCACAGCTCGGCTGTTCCTTGTCTATAAGGAAGAAGCGGTATCCTCCCGGAGCTTCAGTCATGTAGAGAGAGTCTCCAACTTGTGTGAGAGGCCAGTTTAACCTCTTCGCATTACTCACAGCCTGACTAGACTGGAGAGTGAGACCCTAATATTGAAGAGAATAGATAGAGGAATGATCAGGATCCCATTTTACACAAAATATACGGTGTGTGGACCAAAAGTCAGAAACTGCTAGTGAAAATGCTTTATTTAAGTTTGATTGTACCTAAATATAAATTGTTTTATTATGTCAATTCAAGTTAAAAGTTTAATTGTAAATTATATATTTATATATATATACATACATATATATATAAATGATTTTTGTGATACAAAGCTGAATTTTCAGGATCATTACTCCAGTCTTCAGTTTCACATGATCTTTCAGAAATTATTCTAATATACTGATTTTGTGCTCAAGAAACATTTATTATTATTATGTTGAAAACAGCTGTGTACACATTTTTATTTTGTATTCTTTGAATAGAAAGTTCAAAAGAACAGCATTTATCTGAAATAGAAAGCTTTTGTAACATACAGTACACAACTGACAATTTTGGCGTCAGTAAAAAAAAAAAGAAATTGGAAAGAAACGAATACTTCAGTGACAGTAAAAACTTTCTATTCTTCAAAGAATCCTAAAAAAAATTACACACAACGTTTGAACACATACAGACAGACAGATATAGTATATATAGTATTATTAATTTAATTCTATTTTTTTTTTCTTAAAGATCTCAGATGTGTATATTCAAGTAATCCTACTGTATGTGTGGTGTCAATGTAAATGTATTAGGAGTTTACCAGGAAGTCATTGCCAAGGCGATATTCACCCACTCCATAGTTATAGGTCAACTCTGCCACAAAGTGGTCATCTTCTGGTCCAAAGCCCACCATGGTTTTACTCCATTTCCCATCATATGGACTGACAACACAAGAACATATCAATGTTTCGAATGTGCCTTTAATAAAGGTTATACAAGTAGTAACAGCTTAAGTAGTAAACTAGTAAGATAAAAAAAAAAAAGATATGATATGACAAACCCATTGCAGGTTGCTTTGCAGCCCTCCTCAAATTCTTCATGACGCAGAATCTGTACGTAGATTAGAGTCATTAGTTATTGTTTATAAGTCTGTAATTTGAGACTTAACACAAACTGAGGGAAGATATGCGACGTGTCAAAACTGCAGTTGGTAATAACGCCATTAACTGTCTTATCACCATTATTAGGAGGCAAAGTCCTCAATGAATTTAAAATACAGAACTGGAATATTACAATAAGCTCAGTAGAAAGCTCTTCTACCTTCATTCCTAAGACATCCCTGTAAAAAGTGGCTGTTCTGGCCCTGTCTCCTACTTTAAAAACAAAATGCAGTGCTCTTCTATGTGCCATCACTCTTGAAAGTCTCCCACTAGACAGATATTATTGACTGTAAACGCGACGATCACACACACTCTGTATCGATGCACACACCTTGCGATCGATTGCTCTGCTGTCAACATGCCACAGTGGTCTAAACCAAATTAGTTTGTTTAATTTTTACGTGGATTTGTAATACCATTGTATATATGGGCACATTACGTCATTTAGAAAAATATATTTATATATAATACAAAAAGCACTACATTTAAAAAAAATGTTTATAACACATTTCTTGGTCAATTCTTATATCTTTGGTACAGTCCATTCTAGTAATGGGAAAACGGAATCACACGAATCGGTTCATTTCAACAGTTCTGTTCAAAGAATCGGTTGATATATTGCATCCGTCAGTGTGTTGTAGCTCTGATTCATCTCAAACAGACATTGAATTGTATTGCATTTGTTTCGTAAGTGTTAGTAAATCTGTCATACTCATACACAGAATTATTTATTTAATTTCTATTTGTTCATGTTTTCATCTCTCAAATCCTCAGTTTCCACCACTGATTTAGTCTGTCGCTCATCAATGTCCAAATATTATGGATTAACATCAGTTGAAATACATTACACCATGTCTAATTTGTGTATTATGCACCATTTAGTAAGTAATTATATCGATATTTTAGATTTAATAATACTGTTTTGTGTTCTGACTGTGCATCCAACTCTTGGGAAAGATCCGACTCAATAAAAGTAAACAATTCGTTCATGAATCAGACATCGGTAGTTCATTCATTCAGTGACGCATGTCGCGGTCGGGTCAACAAACATGGCAGCGCTCATGTATAACGTGAGTCGTGGATTTGTTATTTTCGGGGAACATAGTTTATTATTTAGAGGGCATAACCAGATCTTGGTGAATTCGAGGCGATATGTCCGAGCCCTCCGACGGAGACCCGTGGCGGTCTTGTATCCCAATGGAGAACGAGAGACATTTATTAAATCGAAGGAAACAACTGATAAAATGAATCAAAAGGTTTTCAAACAAAAAGGCAAAAACCTTTCTGAGAGTGATAATAAATCTCGCAAAGAGAAAGTCTCTGAGAGAGCTGTCAACAAGAAGTGGATTGGTCATCATGTCTCTGAATGTGCAGAAGAGTCTCCTCACATTATGGACAGGCTTGGTGGATTGCGATACGAAAAGGCCCCTGCTGGAGATAACAGACTCGCGTGAGTACAAATATTATTGGAAAATCACGGTTACCAACATCATATCATCTGCATTCTTGCAAAATACATAATTTAAGTGTTGAATGTAAAGATGTCTGCATATTTTCCATTTAATTTGTTTATTTCACATACAGATTCACATCTGGAGCACCAGATATAAGATTGTGGATCTCTGTTAAAGGGATAGTTCACCCGAAAAATGAAAATACAAAAAGAAAATCAACTGTTGGCCCATCAACTGTTTGATTACCATCATTCTTCAAATATCTTCTTTCGTGTTCAGCAGAAAAAAACAAATTGAGGATGAGTAAAGGATGACAGAATTGTCATTTTTGGGTGAACTATCCCTTTAAAGCTGCACTGGGAAGAAAACTGAAAAGTTGAATCCCGTATTTTTGTGTAAAACATGGACATAAATATATATATTTTTTAACAACTGTTTATTACCCAGAGGTTTTGACGTTATGATCCATTGTCTATGTTCTTGTTTGTTGTGACAACAAACTTTAACTATCATGCCATTCAGCGCCAGAGCTTCTTTTCTCCTCACGGGTGAATGACTGTCTTAAAATGATAAACATTAGTATAGGCATTAGGTAATGTCATAAAACAATGATGTCGTTCATTGTCCCCTCAGGAAGGTGTCCAGTGTGGCCCGCTCCAGAACGTTTCGGGAGAAGGAAGGTAAGGTGCTGCTGGAGGGCAGGCGTCTGATCTGTGATGCTCTGTCTGCTGGAGCGTCTCCTCAGATGCTCTTCTTCAGTATGGTGGAAAGACTGCAGGAGCTTCCTCTAGATAAACTACAGCAGGTCAAGCTCATCAAGGTCAAATATGAAGACATGAAGACCTGGTCTGACCTGGTCACTCCTCAGGGTGTTATAGGTCAGTTGGCGAATCTCTCATAAACCCAGTTTACTTCTAAATGTTTATAACACAACTCAAATCACACTGTTTCTGTCAAATCACAGCTATATTCTCAAAACCCGATGCCTCCCGTCTGGCATTTCCAAAAGACATCCGTCACCAGTCTGTGCCTTTGTTCCTGATATGTGACAATGTTCGTGACGCTGGAAACCTAGGCACTATTTTACGCTGTGCAGCGGCTGCTGGTTGTGACCGTGTTCTCCTAACCAAAGGTAATCAAATAGTTAAATTATGTTAAATTAGGTATTTTTATGTACTTTTTTTTTTTTTTTTGAAAGAAATCTGAATTAAATGACCCAAATGTGTTATTTAAAACACTAAGCACTGGCTGTTTATTTGTATTTTTCCAGGTTGTGTGGATGCCTGGGAGCCCAAGGTTTTACGCGCCGCAATGGGAGCTCATTTCCGCCTTCCGGTCTATCCTAATCTGGACTGGGATGACATTTCGAAGCACTTACCAAAGGACGTGATTGTCCATATAGCGGATAACTGTAGCATTTTTACAAAAGACCCTGCATCTGCTCAAGTTCCAGGACAAATACAAAATGTTACTTTGGATAAATCCAGCGACTCTAGCGACTCCGATGATGAACTTTCACTGCCGTGTGTGAAGCCTCAGGTGTACCATGAGAGTTGGGCTCAGAAGAGCACGGCCCTGGTGATTGGTGGAGAGACGTGTGGACTGAGTTTGGAGGCTCTTGGATTGGCCGAGGAAACGGACGGTAGAAGGATCTTTGTTCCCATGGCTCCCGGAGTGGAGAGCCTGAACTCTGCTATGGCTGCTAGTATACTGCTGTTTGAAGGCAGACGGCAGCTTCTGAAGGCATCTGACAAAACCCGCAGAAGAGCAAGATCTAAAATGTTCTAATGATTGTTTTTCTTGTAATGTTTAAAACAAAGATATTTTACCAAATACTGTCCATTTCTATATGCTGCACACTTTAAGTATGTCAAACAGTATCACCAATAAACAGTAGCAGGCTAGTATTCTACATTGTCACATGACCTCATTGCATTCCATGTTTAATTAAAGGAGTAGTTCACTTTTAAAAAAAACTTTTGCTGATAATTTACTCACCCCCATGTCATCCAAGATGTCCATGTCTTTCTTTCTTCAGTTTTTGATGAAAACATTCCAGGATTTTTCTCCATATAATGCCCTTTACTGGTAACCAAATGGTTAAAGGTCCAAATGACAGTTTCAGTGCAAACTGTTCCAAGGGCTTTACATGATTTTGTGTAAAGGGACTCATTCATCAAAATGAACGAATCTTTTTCCGAGTCATTTGGTTCATTCAACGAACGAAACGAACGAATTGATTTAGAAAAAGGTTTGTTCATTTTGATGAACGAGTTCGAACAGGAGAGTCACGAACGTGCGTCACGTTATTTATTTATTAAGCAAAAGTTTTTTCAAAAGTGATCTTCTCCTTTAAGCTAGGTTATTTTGAAGAGAATTCCAATTTTGTGCGAAAATATAAGAGGTTAGAATTCTGGCCAGTATTGATATTACAATATTATACTATTTAGCCTAAATTAATCAATGAATTTGATCATTTTAAATACTTCTAGTAACTTTAGGCATTACAACATTATAACGTACAATAAAATGGTCAGTGTACAAAATGTAAAGATTACATTATTAAATTAAGATTACATTTGTTAAATCAGGTCGATGATGGCAAATATAAAGTAAGCGTATGTTTACACGACAATGATGTGGTAAAAACAGAAAACGTGAATCTGACAAAAAAAACGTTGTATTATTCATGCCAGGCCAGTAGTTGGCGATGTCACTTTGAGAAACGATACACATCTCTAGGCTGAATATGTAATACGCATTACGTCACCACAAATACCAGATTTTGTAGTTTATATGGAGTCGACAACTGAATTGTTTTCAAAAACTTGTACTTTGAAACCCATTTTCAAAAGTTTTGCTGTTGCCGTGTAAATGAACGTAATTTTTTTAAAAATCTTTTTTTAGATGGAAATAAAGAGTGTAATATAAACAACCCTTAATGTCAAAAAAAGCATGTAAAATGAAATATGGAAAAATTCCTACGGATTGAATGACCTAAAAATAAAATTATAGCTTGAATGCTATGTCGCTTTGGATATGCGTCTATTAAATGCATAAATACAAATATCTAGTATCAACCAATAATAAAAGACGTTTGTCAGGTTAGACGCCATTTTGAATTGAATTCAGATGAAAACGAGGCTGTGAGGGATTGACTTACAGAGTTTACAATGCCACAGACCGCATAAAGGTCCAAGATCACATCTTTCACAACTCAAAACTTTTAAAACTGTTTCATGCATTTTTGTCCAAAGAAAGTTTCATCGGCTGAACAATCAGTATGTTGTGTTAATCATCAGTACACGCTGTATTATATTCACGGCTTCATTTTCATTCCAGTCAAAAATTAAATAAAGTGTAATGCCGTTACCCTGACTGAGGTCAATTACCAACAGCAATATAAAATCAAGCAATAACTAATGAAAGTAGAATTAACTTAATCACGTAGATAGCTATAGTGATTCTACATTAAACCAATTCGAGTAATATGTATAAAAAGAACGCAGATGTTTTAGACAGTGAGTTTTAATGCTATGACATCATTGAAACAACCAAGGACAGACTGTGTGCTTTAATTGGCTACATTTCATGAGGAATCTTGCAGTTAGATGCTATTTATTGTGCCTTCAAAAAACACAGACCACTTTAATACTGGGGACCTTCACAGAAAATCCACTTACAGTAAATGTCATGTTTGAGATGGGAACTGATCAGCCATTCAACAACATCAAATATCAACAAGGTGGGCGAAGTCCTTATAAGAATCAACTATAGACAGCTGCATTAAAAATAAACAGCGGCAGCTACACGAAGAATAGATAGTGCCTTCTATACAAGGATATTAACATCAGCTTGTTCATGTATGCATATTTATCAGCACCCATAAGAAGACAATCACAGCCGTACGGAAAATATGGCCATGGACAATGTGCAGTGTCTGTGGAAAAATGATGATAATAACAATACACTTACCAAGCTATATTTATTCTAAGCTCTTGATTCTTGAAACAATATCGAAGGAAACACTTGCTAAAAATCTTGATAAGAGCAAATCGGAACAAAGGTGTGTTCACTTGCAGCTGCAGGGTTCAGTCTAATCTCTAAATGTAACGGCAAAAAGACAGTCAACGTAAAAATCTGCATTATACCATCAGCGCTGTAGCAAATGCAAGGCACCACAGGAGGAGACGGCCGCTTCATGATGGAGGGGCGCGTATTAAAAGAAGACAAATGTCAATACAAAGTACGATTCTGTTTTCGAACAGTCTGACAGGAAGAGAAGGGAGCGCACACCTGGAGGTCAAGGGCCAGATGGAGGTTCGGGAGTTTAGTGCAGTCCACGACTTCAAATGGGCTCTGGTTTGAGCTTCTCGGCTAGAAAGTCACTAACAAACTGTTCTACCACAGCCGGCGTGATCTCCTCCACGTCTTTAACGTATTTGGCGCGAGCCGACATGTCCAGGATGGTGAGAAGTGGCGCGGCCTCAGGCAGGTTAGTGTAGTCCCGCAGGGAATCGCTCATATCGTCCTGTTGGGAGATGAAAAGTATGAATATCATTGTCTGTGAAAAGCGAAATTACTAAATTGAGCCTACAACTACAAAGAGTGAAGAAATGAACTGAGTATTTGAGAAACAACCCCCAAGGAGACACAGGGAACCATAAAAAGTGCATTGAGGCCGGTATAAAGCGCACACGCTCTGGAAACCAGCATGACGGCACAGACGGGGGAGTTTCGCTGAGCAGAGTTGAAGCTCCTCTCACTCCCCATGGAGAGGAGGTCTCTACTTCAGCAGGAGAGGACCAGGAGGGGGGACAAAAACATCGCATCACCCACCTTGTTGTTTCTGAGGCACTACAACCCCAGGAAACTTCAGAGAGATGAATCACACAGTGTGTGTGGAAAACATCCCCATTATTTCCATTGGGGGTTCCTAAATGTGTGTTTGTGGAGTAACAAAGGCAAAGCCAGAGTGTTTTTATTTTCTGAATGTCTTTCTTCAAGATGTGATTGGACTTTAAAGGGATACTCCACTTTTTTTGGAAATAGGCTCATTTTACCACTCCCCCAGAGTCTCATTGACTTCCATAGTATATTTTTTTTCCAACTATGGAAGCCAATGAGACTAGAAACTGTCTGGTTACTGAAATTCTTCTAAATATCAGAAAATCAGCTGAATGCATTTGAAAAAGGTGAAACTCAACTGTTTAACTCTGGGGGAGTTGTAAAATGAGCATATTTCCCAAAAAAGGTGGAGTATCCCTTTAATACCAAATGCTGCACACCATAATATACGAAAAACAAACAAACATAACATCTATATTGTTTAATGAATTAAAGAAATATTTAATGTGAAAAATTTGATTATGGTTTTGGCAAGAATGTTGACTTGAGGTCATTTTTTCTATGAAATATGATAATATATCTAATGAGACACCAATGTGTCCCTGAGCAAGACACTTAACCCCTAGTTGCTCCAGAAGCGTGCGACCTCTGACATATATAGCAATTGTAAGTCTCTTTGGATACAAGTGTCAGCTAAATGAATAAATGTAAAAAAAAATCTATGAAATCTTTATTGATTTCTAATATCTAAAAATCGTCATGTGTTGAACATTTACTAGAGTGAAGCGACAAAGGTTTACTTAATAATCCATACATCATTTTTTATATAGAAAAATCATGTTGAAATGAGAGTATAAAATATGATGACCAGGCTTTTGAGGAACGTTTATTTATGCATCCCAATCTTCATTGTATTGCAGTGAATTATATGTTTTGCTCCCCACAATATAAATCTTTGATCATAAAACAAAGCATTTATATAGAGTGATGTGGAGAGATATAGAGTGACACTGATAATTATATCCAATTTATGCAAGTAGTCTGCTATATATCTGCTATTACTACATGAAATAGCATTTATTGCTTGGTTTGGGCCTCTGAATAAAACTGGTTCTCTCAAATATCAAATGTGACAATCAACAGCAACAACAAAAAACAGATATCCAAACGTTTTTAGATGTTCTTTTATATTTTGCCTAAGGATTCAATAAACAGTTCAATTTAAATATATATAAATATATTTATTATACACACAATATATATATTACACACACACACACACACACACACACACACACACACACACACACACACACACACACACACATATTTATATATATATACAGGCATTCTGACTTTTCTGATGTCAGGTTTTACAGGGTTAAAAGGGGCTACTTTACAACACAATAGGCCAACTAGTCTAACACAAATCGATTATACTTAAAAGGCCTTTCAAATGAGCGTGTCTTGGAAAGAACTGCATTGTAATTTCATATGGAAGCCATTATTATAATGCAATACATGAGTAGCTGTTTTTGACCACGAGAGGGCAGTACAACAGTTTCGATGAGATCTCGACTCGAATTTATTCTCATCTCTAACTGGCTCGCAGTGAAACTATGAGCTATTCCACAGCAGTACATGAATTAAACCGCATAATCAGATCTTGAGCCTGTAAAAACAACTCGCTTCGCCGTTTTTGCTACCTAAAAAGGACAACAGAAAGTTTGTGACCTCGAATTCAAACAAAACTACTAAGAGATTTAATGGCTGTATTGTTACAATAGTCTAACATTATAGTTACTACCTAAACATGCAATATACAAGGTGGTGAATCACTAATATAATTGCAGATCGTCCATTTCCTGTTTTATAAAACAGGAAAAGTGGATCACATGGGGTTACTGGTGCTTTTACCCATAATCATTTCCCTTTCCATGTTCCAGATGCATTCCAGTCTGATCTGAGCTCACAACACACTGCAGTAGATTAAATTGCTCAACCAGGAGAGACAATGACTGTCAAAATTTGACGTATAACAACGCGTAAAGCTTGTTTC